CCAAAAGAAAAGATGGCTGAAGGCCTGACCTCCTTCTGGCCTTCTCTGGCTCTGACAGAAGCTATGGGGGGGGGGGGGGAAGGCATCTCCAGGGGGAGACTCTCCTGGCCTGCCTGATCCTTCTTGGGCTCCGCAAGGAACGCGGGGGAGGGGAGCCGTGTGGGTCCACCGGGGGAAACCAAATTAAGAGTCTGGTGGCCCCTTTTCCCACGAATGGGTTTCATTGAAAGGCAGAAGCTCCCGTGAGCCGCATCCGATGAAGGGAGCTGAAGTTCACGAGAGCTTCTGCCTTGTAATGAAATCCGTTCGTTGGAAAAGATGTCAACAGACTCCTAATTTTGTCTTCTGTTTCTTACACAAACCAGCCGCAGGTGAATTCATCAAACGCTTCAGGTGAGGATTCCCAGGTGTGGGGAGAGGCAGCCCAAGCGGAAGGCATCTCCTTTGGGCACCTTCTCTTCAATCAAGCATCCTGGGCAGCTTCAACCTTATCAGACAAATCGACTTCCCGGCTATTTTACCGGAGAACCACTCTGCTGCAGTGGCAAAGGAGCTGGCCTAGAACCCAGGAGACGGTGAGTTCTAGTCCTGCCTTAGGCATGGAAGCCGGCTGGGTGACTTTGTGCCAAACACCAGGAGACGGTGAGCTCTAGTCCCGCCTTAGCAGGGGTGGGTTCCTGCCACCATTACTACTGGATCGGTACCCAAAAGTTTTTGCTCACAGCTGATCCGCGCGATCGTCGGGTGCTTCCCCCCCCCCTACTTTTCAAAGCATTTTTCTCCTGCCTATTCGCCCAAACCGGCAGGGAAGAAAATGCTGTAAAAAGTGAAAAAGAGTTGGCCCTGCCCACCCAGTCACAAGCCACGCCCTCTGAACTGGTACCATTTTTTTTTAAGATTTCTCCACTGCTCCCAGGTCCCCCCCAACTCTGATTCTGTGGTGCAAGGCAGGGTTTGCTGGAGGGCAGAAGGAACCCGGCTGCACCACTGAGATGAATATCTCCACAGCGCCTTTCAAAACGAGCTGGGACTTGAACATCCCGCATTGTAATGATGGACGCGCATATTTCCTAACGATATCCGGCTATTTGATAGGGCAATTGACTGACAGGCAGCTTGGATGTATTTTAATAAAGGTCATCATCTCTCAGAAACCGTTGCTCTGCATATTCCAGGCCTTCAACCAGCGGGCCTCCCTCCCATGCATTATTCCAACCCACTAAAATGAGGCTCCTGAACTTGCTGCAGGGACCTTCCAAGCCACAGTTAGAGATAAATATTTGTGACTTCGGAATGGAAGCCGAAATTACCGGCAGGAAACCACAAGACGTAGCTGGCAGTTAATTCTCTGAAACTATGGTGAAGGATGGGGTTGCATTTCGGAGCTACATGTGAGTTCACAGACAGAATAGAGTGCATTAATCAAAGATGGGTATCTTTGCGCTACTGTCAGAAGAAAAGTGGGGGGGGGAGCCCCCAGCTATGCCAGTGAATTTGAGATATTGGTCAAACTGTGTTAATCTCCCGAGTTGTCAAGCTGTCAGAAGAATTATATGGATTAGCTGGAAATAGCTCATTAACAAGCTAATTATAACAAGGTCATGAAAGCAATCTATATAGGGAAATAAAGTTATTAAGGGAAGCCCCCTTTTGACACAGAAATACACGTCTCCCAGCCGAGCAGAAGATGTCACTCCAACCAAGAGTTAAGCCTTAGTAAGACCACGCCTAGAGTACGGCATCCAGTTTTGGACACCACCCTATAAAAAAGATGTTGAGACTCTAAAAAGGGTGCAGAGAAGAGCAACCAGGAGGATGAGGGGACTGGAGGCTGAAACATACGATGAACGGTTGCACAATGAACTGGACAAGGCTAGTCTGGTGAAGAGAAGGACCAGGGGAAACAGGATAGCAGTCTTCCAATATTTGAAGGGCTTCCACAGAGGGGAGGGGGTCCAGCTATTCTCCAGAGCATCCGAAGGCCGGACAAGAAATAATGGATGGAAAGTGATCAAGGAGAGATTCAACCTGGAAATAAGGAGAAAATTTCTGACAGTGAGAGCAATCANCTATGAAGCGGTATGTAAGTCTAACTGCTATTGCTATTGCTACTATCTAATGAAGAGGTCTGTTAATGTGGCTGTATGTGTTGATGTTTTTCAGAGTATCTGGAGGTGAGTTATTTGACCGCATAGTAGAGAAAGGATTTTATACGGAAAAGGATGCCAGCACCCTGATACGACAAGTCTTGGATGCTGTCTATTATCTTCACCGGATGGGCATCGTTCACAGAGACCTCAAGGTATTTAAAATTTAATAGCACCGTAGATATACTGTAACTCAAAGGGGTCCTTGCTTCCCTCTGAGCTTGGTTGTTTACTTGCAGACGTTTCATTACCAAACTAGCTAACGTCATCGGTGCTAGTTGGGTAATGAAATGTCTGCAATGAAGCAGAGAGCACCACGGACCCCCTCATTGCAATCCTGAGCTACAGTTATTCTCCTTCATTGCTATATCTCAAAGCCAGTTTGGTATAGCGGTTAAGACATCCAGCTAGAAACCAGGAGGCTGTGAGTTCTAGTCCCACCTTAGTCACCGAGCCGGATGACTAACTTTGGGCCAGCCACTCTGCCGCAGCCCTAGGAAGCAAGCAATGGAAAACCACTTCTGAAATCTTGCTAATTAAACGACGAAGGTTAATTCAGGCAATTTCAAGACATCAGCACTGATTCAAAGGCGCAGACCCAAACAAGATAGATATGAGCCTTCTCCAATCTAGAAAATGAACAGTTGAGATTTGGGGTTACAAATCTCAAAATTCTCATCCAGCAGAGGTGGAGAAAGTTGTAGAACCATGCATAAATGAAATAAATAAATATTTGTAACAGAATCTCTCCGGCTAAAGATGCAAGCTACTCTAAAGAGCCTTATAGTCTTGACTCAGATGTTTTTAGGAAAATGTAAGAATCTTTTGTTGGAATTCATTGTTCAACACGTATTTCTATGCAACAACTACAGTAGCATTCAGCCAGTAGATGGCAGTGTTTGCAAGTTTGGATCTATGGTATATACTCTATGCCCTTTTGTACTAAGTAGAGGTTCCTGTTTCCTGTTACGGTTTAAACAGTGTAAAGCACATGGTGATTGTTCTCTTTTATTTGCTCTGTGGTGCTATATATAAACAGAATTTCTAACATCTTTCTACTGGTCCGCCACCATCTTATCCTCCTATAGTAACTTACATGCAACTGTGGTTGTCACAGTTTGGAACTTTGGTGTGAAAATCAGACTTTTTAAAACTCCCTTTTATATCTTTGGTTTTTTTTTGAGGGCGGAAGATAATCGTGGATAAATGATGACTTGTCCAGTCAGCGAGGTTATTAACTGCTTAGCACATTTGCTAAGTCAGCTGTTGAAGTGTAAAGCTAACATAGGAGGCTTAGACATATCACCTTTTGCTAAGTCAATCTTCTGCTGAAACAACAGGATCTGCAGGAAATTGCTTATGTAAGAATGATCCTTTATGCAGAAGAAGAGGCTGAAATAACTCCGTCAACGCGTGGCTAAGCTGCCGGATCCTGTTCCACTTCGGTGGAAGGAATTCCTTGACACTACTCCTTTTTTAAACAAATTAATCTTATAAGCCATACATGCCAGAGAGGAATGTGAAAGGTGTGTTTTATAGAAGAGCTGTGGAAGGGGATTAGTTTATATATGACTTGGCATTTATACTAATGGAAATAATTCTGATAAATGTCAGAATTCAGTAGACGTTCCACAGGCCGGGGGAGCTGGGCAGAAGAAAAAAATCTACCCAAATATATATCAATTTTCTCGTTGGACTCATAAGAAATAGGGGAAGCATGGCAGTGCACCCCACTCCATAATTTAACAGAATAACAGAGTTGGAAGGGACCTTGGAGGTCTTCTAGTCCAATCTCCCTTGCTCAAGCAGGAGACCCTCTACCATTTCAGACAAGTGACTGTCCAGTCTCTTCTTAAAAGCCTCCAGTGATGGAAAAGGAGGGAAGGAAGGAAGGATGGACGGACGGAAGGAAGGAAGGAAGGGAAGGGAAGGGAAGGAAGGAAGGAAGGAAGGAAGGAAGGAAGGAAGGAAGGAAGGAAGGAAG